GTGCTCTCATGAGCTCTGTGGGGCCCTACCTAGCCGAAATATGGCCACGGCCAGTTGCCGCCGCATGGCTCTTCAGACTATCATTCTCAGGGGCCTCATCTGCCTAGTTTGAATAGAAGGGCCTCTCAGACCATCAGTCTCATGGGCCTCCTCTGGCTAGTATAAATAGAAGGGCCTGTTAGACCATCAATCCTAGGGGCCTCTTCTGGTTAGTATAAATAGAAGAGCCTCTCAGACCATTAATCTCAGGGGGCCCCTGTGGACAGTATAAATAAAAGGGCCTCTCAGACCATCAGTCCCTAGAAAAGTGTAAATGTGGATAGAGGCCAGAGGGCCCCCTCAGATTCATTACGAGTGGACCTCTCTGACTATCAGTCTCAGGGGCCTCTTGTGGCCAGTATGCATATAAGAGCCTCTCAGACCATCGGTCTCAGGGGCCTCTTCTGACTAGTGTGGATAGAGGGCCCTCCCAGACCACCGGTTTCAGGGGCCTCCAGTGGCCAGTTATATGAACAGAAGGGCCTCACAGCCATCAGCCTCGCGGGCCTCTTCTGACTGGTGTAAATATGAGGGCCTCTCATACCATCAGTCTCAGGGGCCTCCTCTGCCTAGTGTGAATATAAGGGCTTCCCAGGCCATCAGTCTCAGGGGACTCTTCTGACTGGTGCCGGATTGAGGGACCTCCCAGACCGAAAGTTTTGGGGGTCTCCTGTGGCCAGTATGAATAGAAGGGCCTCTCAGTCCATCAGTATCACGGGCCTCTTCTGCCTGGTGTGATTATAAGGGCCTCTCAGGTCATCAGTCTCAGGGGCCTCCTCTGACTACAGTGTAGATGGATAGGCCTCCCAGACCATCAGTCTCAGGGGCCTCTTCTGACTATTGAGGATAGAGGGGCCTCCTCTGACTAGTGAGGGTAGGGGGCCTCGGCTAGACCGCCAGTGTCAGGGGCCTATTCTGACTAGTGTGGATGGAGGGGCCTCCCAGACCAGTGTGGATATTGGGGCCTCCTCAGATCCACTAGGGCCTCTCAGGCCATCAGTCTCAGGGGCTTCGACTGATAAGTATGAACAGAGGGCCTCCTTGGATCCATCACGGCCCCTTGGAGTCCGTGCGTGGGGATTCGTGGAACTTATTTTTACCGAGTTTGTTTATTCTGGAAGGTGACGACGTCCTCTCAAATCGAGACGAGGGGCCTCGAGTAAAAAGTGGGTGGGCCAAAACACATGGTTGGCCCCCCCACCTCGAAAAGTGGGTGGGCACTTGCCCACCTGGCCCCCCCTGTTCCTACGCCTATGCTCAGACCCCGCTCTTCTGTTCCTCTGCTCGTCTACTCAGACCCCGCTCTTCTGTTCCTCTGCTCGTCTACTCAGACCCCGCTCTTCTGTTCCTCTGCTCGTCTACTCAGACCCCGCTCTTCTGTTCGTCTGCTCGTCTACTCAGACCCCGCTCTTCTGTTCGTCTGCTCGTCTATTCAGACCCCGCTCTTCTGTTCCTCTGCTCGTCTACTCAGAGCCCGCTCTTCTGTTCCTCTGCTCGTCTACTCAGACCCCGCTCTTCTGTTCCTCTGCTCGTCTACTCAGACCCCGCTCTTCTGTTCCTCTGCTCGTCTACTCAGACCCCGCTCTTCTGGTCGTTTGCTCGTCTGTTCCTCTGCTCGTCTACTCAGACCCCGCTCTTCTGGTCGTTTGCTCGTCTACTCAGACCCCGCTCTTCTGTTCGTCTGCTCGTCTACTCAGACCCCGCACTTCTGTTCGTCTGCTCGTCTACTCAGACCCCGTTCTTCTGTTCGTCTGCTCGTCTACTCAGACCCCGCTCAGTGTCGTCAGATGCCGACATGTCGCCCCGCCACGGCACGGGTGCACGCCGGTCGGACAGCAGCGTCCCAGCCGACGCTGGCGGCGGTAGAGCACCCGCAGATTGCGCCGCGCCCCTCTGACAAAGGCAGCCGGCCGCCGCCCAACTCCCTCCGGGGACTGGGCGCCAGCTGCAGGGAGATTGGTCCCGGCGCCCCACCGGCCTGCCAGCCGGCCGCACGCGCCCCTGCAGAACACCGTGGTAAAAAACACCTGACAGATGAACTTCCAACGACGGGAAGGTAATCCACACTCGAAGACACTGTGGACAATGCATAGTCATTTTCCTATCCGTGCTCCTCAGCTAGTCCCTATCTTATCTTCCTGAAGTTCCATAGGGGACTTAATTAGACGGCCGACACAGGGCCAGGGTATTCTCTGAATCGTGCCCGGCGCAGTTTACACCCCGTGTTCATTGTATCGCGCTCAGCAATAATTGGATATGTTACCCCGACGGTTTCAATAGGACCACCCCGACCGATGCAACGGAGCACGTAAACATCTTGCGCGTTCCCATATGATTACCGACTTGTTATAATCCCATAAACTTAACTAAATTTTTAGCAACATGAGTGCCAATTTGCTTGAAAAGCCAACATTTACATGCATAAGGCAGCTTTTGCCAAATTGTCAGGAAACTCAGAAGATTTGTTTTCCGATAGAAAAAAACACAATTCTAACGAATTGTGTTTTAACTTTTGACAACAAACCTTCGGTTATAAATTTTTAAGATACAAGACATCATTTAGCGCGCCACTATATACACGTAAAAAAGCGAGAAGTGCCATTTTCACAAACATTTCAAGTAGCCCATCATCAGCATAGAGAACCTCCTGTTATGTTGAGCTTTAGTGTCTGAATATTCGTCTTGATGATCGTAGAAATGATTCTTTCCACATTTAAATTGAAGCGTTTTCTGAAGAAAAAAAAACTCGTAATTGTTCCAAAACAATGAAATAGCAAACCGTCTGGGACAGTTGTTGATGACGCTGTTATCTGCATTGTGTTTCGAACAATGCTTTTGCATAGTAAATGAATGTCTTTGGCGAAGAAACGGCTTTCTCTTTTATTTTCATTTCATTATTCTGCTAAAGGAAACACTGTGTCTTTTTGGGGTTGTAATTTTGCTGGCTAAAGGTCGGAGAGGTTGTGTATTGATGTAAAAGAAATAAAAGCTGGCAGTGAAGACCATGTGGATTGTTTTACCCGGTCTGAAAAATGAGAAGGGGAAATTGAGATGATAACCCAATGGACACTTCCGTCTCGCTGATTCCGACTGTTTCGACGTTTTTTTTTTCTCTGGTCTGCATGGTCAGTGGTCACCGCCCACCGGTAATCAGGATAAGTATCCAACTCCCATACGAGTAATCCCCCACAGATGACCACTATGCAAAGCTCGGCGGCTTGTCCTTTGAGTCGCGTATTTCGGGAATTGGGGAGACAAGTCTTCGCATCTTACCAATCGCTATAGCCGCCTCAGCGCAACGTCTTCCTCTTGTGCTGCCCCATTGCCCTTCAGCATATATTCCAGAGTGCATATGTCAGTTGGAGCTCGAATCCTCGAAATTCCCATTTTGTCTCATGTCCAATTCGGATTTTGGTTGGACCAAGCCAGCTGGCAATGGACGAATTTGTTATTTGACAGCTGCGGTGATGATCAACAATTTTGGACCGCGGCGCTTCCTAGCAGTAGCATTTAGAACAAATTGACGTTTATAATTCTAGTTTCTGAAACAAGCACCACTATTTTCCATGCAGACTTCGGTCAGTTTTAGGACAAAACCATGTTTGTGAGTCTTGGACCGATTTCGGACAAAAAGGAGCCAGGATTTTGGACATTGGACGGACATTGGAGACAAACCTTTTCTGAAACCGTTACTATTCCAGATCAAAATGACGAACAAAATGCAATGATAACGTCATCTGGCTATGACGTGGGCGAGAATTGGGTATCGAAAGCGGAGGTCTGTGTCAGTCGGTTCATCGCCATTACCCTTCTAAGGGCCCAGCAACGGCGCTACGGATTCGGGTAACGTCGGCTGGGCGGGGCAGGTATACGATCCTTTGTTCCAACCGTATCCGAGGCGCCTGAAGGTTTCGTGGAAGAGGCGTCATGTCTTGGCGGCTGAGATGCAGAGCGGTCGTTAACATGCCGTTCGTATGATGGTGAAAGGTTTCAGCTATGACGGGATGGTCGGTTGCCATTTTTTTTTTCGCATCGTGCATCGCTGGTGGCGGCTGCGCTTCCCTGATACTGATACTGATCTCCCAAGCCCGATACGGGCTGACCGGAAATCCAACGGCTCAAGTTCGCCGGCTTCGCACAGCGGGTAAAATTCGATCGACGCTGAACCTGAGACGCGGAGCCTGATTCACACGATGGTTAGCGGGGTGGAGGGGGGGGGAGGGGGGAGGAGGGTGACTATTTACGCAACACCTCAGGTCATTTGCGAACACATACAAAAAAACGGAGTTGTGCGGCTGTTACACTTGGTACACTTGATTCATCTTTTCTGCACATTTGGTAAAAATTACAGACCGAGGCCATGTCACTAGGCAAGCATCCTCAGGTCAAATGACCTCCCCTCAACAAATACTTATGCTTGGCCTCGCTTTGCCTTCAGCGACCGAACGGTTCCTTTGAAGTTTTCATCTATTAATGATTTATCGGTCGATGAGTATTGAGCAGTCATGGCGTCATATTTCTGTTTGCCGTTTTTATGATTTTAAGCTAAATGATTCTAAAACGAAATGTTTCGAATTAATTTTGCTGCGTAAGACGACTTCTTCTGGAGCTACTCTCAAGGGTTTTTACGCTTTATCTTCTCTCCACATGACACATGACACTCCGGTCAGTGGAAGCGGCAGAACGGTCGCTGGCTCCAAACGGACCGGAACAGACCTCTTCTGCTGCCCACACAGGGCACGCATTGCACGCTCGGCTCGCCGAGCGCGCCTTCACGCTCGGAATAGGTTCGCGGCTCGGCCGGAGCGTCGGTGTGGCCCGACAGGTCACCGCAGCCACCGGTACCGACCTGGCCAACCACTGCGCCGCCCCAGTCGGTCTCCAGACACCGCCGACGATCGTCGACGCGCGCTCACCTCCGCTCTTCGTCGGCTCCGACGACTTGGCCGGACGGACGGGTCTGCGTCGGACGGGCGGACGGACGGAGTCGGGTGGAGATCACTCTCCGATCGGCGGATCGGCGCCACCCATCCGGACACCAGTGCCGGGTCTGTCGCTCGGCCCGCGGGTCGTGTTTCAGGATCCCATTGTCTCGGCTGCGTTACCATGTTGTCAGGCGATGCTCCGAGTGTGGATTTCGTGTGACGCGCCGGCCGAGTCGTTCGTTGACCTGATGCAGCGGCGAGACCGGGGCGCCGTCAGAGCAGCAGCAGTCGTCCGCCGCGCGTCGGCCGACGCCGCCTCTCCCCGCAGCCATGCTGGACATCTTCCGCGGCCTGAAGAGCTTCATCAAAGTGAGCCATGTGCAGACGGACTCGGCCATATTCCGCATCCACTACTCGGTGACGGTGCTGATACTGCTGGCGTTCTCTCTGATCGTCACCACCCGGCAGTATGTCGGCAACCCGATCGACTGTATCCACTCCAAGGACATTCCCGAGGATGTGGTCAACACGTTCTGCTGGATCCACACCACCTACCACGTGCCGTCCGCCTTCAAACTGAAGATGGCCACGCGGCCCGGCGAGACCGGCTCCGTCATCTACCCCGGCATCGGACAGCCCAAACATGATGCCGACATCAAGTACATCAAATACTACCAGTGGGTCTGCTTCTGCCTCTTCTTCCAGGTAAGCGCTCCGCTACTCTTCCGTCAAGTAAAGTAGCGGCGTAACATCTGCGATTATTGTAGTCATTGTCGTGAAGCACTGAAGGTTATTCAAAAATGACCAACAGGAGTTTGTGCAGATTATCTGAGACCTGAGTATCTGAACTTGATTTTAGTTATTTCAAGAACTTATGGAAAAAATGTTGAGAGAGAGAGAGAGGGAGAGAGAGAGAGATAAAGAAAGAGAGAGAGAGAGAGAGAGAGAGAGAGAGAGAGAGAGAGAGAGAGAGAAGCATGGAAAGAGAGGGGCTGATCAATGCTCATTCATGCAGTGCAGAGATATCAAGTAGAATATTCAATATGAGAAAGTCGTCAAGAGGTGAGATGTAAAGAGAGCTGGGTTCCGCTCACACTAGCAGCCTTCTGGATTATTTCAACACTTGGCGCAAAAAAAACCGCTTCAAACTAATTTTTGCTTAGCGAACTGACGCATTCAAAGACTCGTTCAAGTCCGTTTCAGTTTTGGGTTATTAGAACCTAAGGCTAAGCGAACCGCATTTATGCTTGGCCGTTCTCGTTCTCGAAATGGTTTCGGGTGCAACGAGCAGCGCCTCAGCATACATAGTTTCAAGTTTCGATTGACCGTGACCGTGTCCCCCTGACAGCTCTCTGTTTGACCGCCGGATCACGTCGGATCATGTCCTTACGGATCACGATCCGTAACACAGCCCCACGACCCCCCCCCCTCCCCGGGGAGCAGCGCATCAGCACAGTGATGTGCCGCATCGGGCAGTGCTGCATTTCCGCCACGTTTTGGCAGCGACACGTATGCGGCACGTGAGCGCCGCGACCCCGTATCGACACAGTGGGTATTGTGATCGTCGTGTGCGCGTGATCTGTCTCTTCCAGTCGGTTCGGATATACCATGAGTGAGCTTGTGTGCTCTCTGCTACAGGCAGCATGCAGGCTGAATTGCGCCTCTGGACTTCATTAGTTATTCAGTTATTAGCTTTCGTCATGCAGCCCTCATGCAATAACAACCGTCTCGCATAAAAAAGTTGTGTACCTACTAATCTTTCTCCATGTCGGTACAGCGCAACGCTTGAAATATGAAGTCTCAGGGGCAGTATGTTTAAAATGGACTTTCCGTTCACGGAAGTCAACCATAAACATCAATCGTGCCCCAACAGGCGGGTATTGTAGTTAAAGGTATTATCAGGGTTTTTTCCGAAATTTCGGAGTTACTCAGTGAAACGTGTAGAAGAAGGTGGCTGAGGCCCCAATCCGAAGTCATTCGTCTCAAAATTGTCTAATTTCCAAATGGTGGGCCTCCAAAGTTGATCCGTCTGCCAGCCAGTACCTGGAGGAGGCAGTACCAAGTACTCGGATACATTTCCCTATAAGTCCATAGGCTTAACACTAGCTAGAGACTTCTAGAGATATTTTTTATGCCAGATAAGGCCGTCGCATACCAGATAAGGCCGCAACGGCCGTTCAACGTTACGTGGGAAAATGGGAGAAATCTTAAGACTTTTTTTCTCTGACGTCTCCACTCCAATATCTCTAGCGCAACTGGCAAGCGTTGTTAGCATTGGCTCGTGTCGTCGTAAATAAGATTTGTTTGACGGATATTCCGTAAGTTGAGTGTGTTGTTGTAATTTCTGAGGCTGTATGAGTTGGACGGAACGGCGCCATCCCGCCATGTGCGAAATCTGTGCGAAACAAAGCTGTTCCTATTCATATTTGAATGTTCAAGACTTGTGGGCTTTGTAGCCAGTGCGTGTAGCTTCTAGATATCCTGTGGGTTATCAAAATAATTAAAAAATTATGTTGTGTGCTTTCAAACTAAGCTCATCCCGAGTGTAATTCAAGAATGTCTTAGTTCAAGCAATTAAACTTGAAAGTGATATAGCTCCAGCAATGAAGAAGCTTGGATGGAACGTTGAATCAAAGTTACCTATCATTTGTAATGTTAATGCTAAGTGCTGAACGTTACCAATAATTCGAGACATCCGTTGTAAGATGTATGACGCAGATCAACTTTGATCAAGTGAAGAAAATAGATTTCAGATGAAATAATGTCAATGTTCAAGGCTGAGCGACTGGCAGATTTCGGAGTGAGCACGAGTGGCCTTGAGACATTCTGTTTCTGTAGGTACTCAAAATAAATAAATTATCATGTTGTGTGCTTTGAGGTTAAGTGTTATCAGTGGTGCTTCATGGTTGTACTTTGTTGTTGGTGTATGGGCATATTTTGAGCACATTGCAGCATGATATTGGTGGTGAGTAAAGCAACTGATCTCCGCAGACTTTGCACTTACTTGCAAAGCCTGCGGACTGACTTTGCAGACTGGCTGACAATGAGCAATGCATTGCTGACTGATATCATTTATTCTGTGTTTGTAGCACAAAGTACAGAAGTGGCACATACATTGTTACTTTGAAAACCTGATGTGAATTTGATGTAGAAAATTGGTGGCTGACGTTGAGTCCTTACGTATTGTGACTTGTGAGTAGTGTACAGCTGGTGCATTGAGCACAGACTTGAGACCAGTGACGTTTGTATCAGTAGACTGTGTTTGAGTCTACTTATATGGGTAGTCATAAAGCAGGTGTCACACTTCTTTTTGCAACCAAGGAGAAGCGCTATACCCAGAGTTGCTTTGTCATCCAACCTTACCCAACCAAACCTAACCAAACCTAACCTTACCTACAACCTAACCTACAGCGCCTCTCTTCGTTCGTTCATGGTTGAAAAAAAAAAACAAGTGTGACGCCTGCTATACTACTACCCTTATATGGCCTTGGTTTGAGTGTGGTGACCGAGTAAGCTGTTGTGTATAGCCATGCAATAAGTGTTTTGAAATATATTTTTGGGACAGTATTGAAATGGTGTGTTTTGGCCATCTGGCATGGATGATGGAAAGCCACTAACTCAACTTCAGGAACGCTTCTTCTTTATGCTCATCTAAGGCACAATCATCTATTTTCTCTTCGCAAGGATTGATTACTAATTCACTGTCAATTATAACCTGGTCCAGAAGGTTTCGCTGGGCCACACGGTTCATACAGATTCATCCACAGTGCTCAGCAGTGCATGTTTTCAGATTTCAACAGACTGTAATTGTTTCTGTATGTACATATGCATCATGCAAGGGTACAACAGATGCGGTATTTGGTAAGCAGTTGGCAGCAAGGTGGTGTTTGTACTTATTGGCAGAACCAGTTGAGCAGGACTAAAACTATCCTAGTTTCTCTCCAATTTACTCAGATCCGTCTCAACACATTGAACATATTGAAAGCGTCCATCCATGAAGATGTCTGCATGTATACTCATTTCCGAGAAGGCACGCTCGTCGCTCATTCATTGCCGAGCAGGCACGTGCGTGCCCATCGCCGGCGCGCATTAGCGCGCGTCCATGGCTGGGGCGCACGCGCGCGGCCATGGCCGGCATGCACGCGCGCGCGCCCATCGTCGGCACGCAACCGCGCGCGCGTCCATAGCCGGCGCGCGCGCCGCGTCCTTACCCGGCGAGAACGCCGCGTCCGTACCCGGCGCGCACCCGCGCGCGTCCACAGCCGGCACTGACAGACCCTGACCGACGGGCGTGCTGCCGTCGGCGGTCCTGACAGATGGGCGGCGGGCCCGGCTCCCGCAGCTCCGGCAGCGGGCGGCAGCCATGGTCGGCATACACGCGCGCGCGCCCATCGTCGGTACGCAAGCGCGCGCGCGCGTCCATCGTCGGCACGCAAGCGCGCGCGCGTCCATAGCCGGCGCGCACCCGCGCGCGTCCATAGCCGGCGCGCACCCGCGCGCGTCCATAGCCGGCGCGCACCCGTACCTGGCGCGCACCCGTACCTGGCGCGCACCCGCGCGCGTCCGTACCCGGCCCGCACCCGCGCGCGTCCACTGCCGGCACTGACAGACCCTGACAGACGGGCGTGCTGCCGTCGGCCGTCCTGACAGATGGGCGGCGGGCCCGGCTCCCGCAGCTCCGGTGACTGTTCCGGCAGCTCCGGCAGCGAGCGGCGTCTCCGGCAGCGCTCAGCAGCGGCGCCAAGCAGCAGCAGCGGCTGAGCCAACAGGCGGCCGCGGAGGCACGCCCCCCCCGGCCCCCCCCCCCCTTTGCACATTGTTCGTCCATGGAGATGTCTGCAAGCACGACCATTGTTGAGAAGGCACGTGCATCCATGGCTGAGCACTGAGCAGGCACGTGCGACCCCTTTGCACATTGTTCAACCATACATATCAATATAATTTACCTTATTGATTAGTGTGAGTCTTGCAAAATCTTAAACTCAGAAATACCACAAGGCAGGCTGCCTGGGTGAGTTGCTAATATGAACATAATGAACATTATACATTAGTGCAGTACCTATAAGTATCCATGCTGTGTGAAGGACTTGGCCCTCACGTTCATTCGTTTGGTGATTGCACATGGTGGCATGTGTACCAATTATTGTTCTCCCTAACCCTTCTTACAACTTTGACTAGCAAGTAGAAGCTGGCAAAATGCAAGGAGCTTACAAAGCATGCTTATATGTAGATAACTGAGGATGATTCTCTCAATTGAAGCATGATCCACATTCCACACTCAGCAGCTTCTTCTGTTCTGTTCCACAAACTAAAACTGAAATGACTCAATTTTCCTCAAAATATATTCATTTATCACTCATAAACAACAAAAATATACATTAAGTAGGTACCAGGGCAATAAAAAACATACAAGTTACATATTTTTTCATGTACAGTCCTTTCACAGCAACAATATGTAGAAACGCACCAAGACGTTCACGGAGAGCCCACCCATAACAAACTATAGTTGAAGCCGGGGCCCGGGGCTCTGCTGCAGCAGCAGGGGTGACGTACAGGGCACAGAGGTCATGTCACATCATGTTGTACAACCTGTTGTTCGAAAAACAGATCAACATTGATTTTGAAAAACTGTAGCGCTTTCTTCAGTCACTTAGGTAAGCTTTCTCGCAAGACGTTACATTAGATTCACCACTCTTGACAAAATAATCAGATTGAAACTTAGCTCTTGTGCCTGATGCACTTACATTTCAATTTATTGAAATAAAACACTCAAATTTACCCTTGAAAATTGTTGACATTTAAATGATATTAACATCAAGATTTCGATGATCAGCAAACAAGCTATTCAAATCACACCCATATAATAACTTTGGCAATGTTGATAACTCTTGCTGTCTTATTGAAAAGCAAATCTTCAATTTGTTCATATCCAAATCCAATGCCAAGCACTGAAATCTTGTTGCAAGGCCCTAAAAACAACAGACAAAAACAAAACAGTCTTGTGGAAATCGCCAGTGCGGTGCGGCGGCCTTGGCGAAATTTCCCAAGGCTGCTCTTTGTTTACATTTTAGCGATGGGCCAACTTGGCCGCCCAAGTACTTGTTTTGCGTGAGTAAGTACAATTTTGTCAATTTTGAAACGGCTATATCTCGCAAATTTCGGTACCGATTTACATTTTATGCATATCTTTAGAATCGGCAGAGTCTGGGGAGTTCATTGATTGGAAATTTATGCCGATTCCTTTCAATTTTTAAACCCTGATAATCCCTTTAAGCATGAAATAGCAAGAACAAATATGAGGATAGAGAAGTGCAATCAACATAATGATTTGGTATTCAAAACAATAAAACATGAAAACTACCTACCGACTGAAACAACGTAAGAAATGTACATGTGGTTCATACCATGTGCGCTAATTAGGTTGAGCTGAATTTAATTGAGCAATACCTCTTCTGCTCCATGGGTATTTCTCACTAAGAAACGAGGCAGGCGCAAACCCAATCTTATTCCAAATGTGTCTTGAATTTTTAATAAGGCATTGGGAGGGTATTCATATGGGTCAGGTCAAACTGAAAGGAATCAGCATGATACGGTCTACGGCCAGTTTCTTTAAATAAAGGATAATCACTATTTAATAAGGTCACACTTCAGAATCGACTTTTTGACACATGTCACAATGTTGGGAGTTATGCATATGCAGGTGACTGATCAGTCACGTTTCGTCAAGGAGGGGGGCCGTGAGACTTTGAGGTGGTTCGTGAGACCTGTGCCGCCGGGGGTCAGCCGATCGATGCACAATGACCCGCCGCCCGGCAGCCGGCACCGTGCACTGCTCACCGCTCGCTAACTGGGCCGAGGTTTGAGGCGTGACCCTATCGACCGTTCCGCGCCCGGCGCCACTTACAGCGAGTGGAATGGTGGCCAGCGTAGCCATGAGCTGACAACTCATTACAGCTACGCACATACTGGACACATCATTCCATTACAGCTACGCGCATGTGCTGGGCACATCATTCACCCGACCAATTGGCTGTGACTTGTCATAACTGCTGCATCGAGGAACGTAATAGTCACCGTAAATGGCAAGGCTCGGGAGATCGCACGAGATGGACCGAATTTCCGTCACCCCCCTGGCCATATCATCCGCCGTTTTTGGTCAATTAAGATCATCAATATCATCATTCATTTGGTGAGATGGCTATGCCGATTTCTGAGAAGTTCTACATATTTGGTCTGTTAGCTACTTTGTATATCATGTGATGTGTAATGCCCCACTATTTTTTAATTTATGTTTCTTGGTTTTTATTTTTACGATTGCTTATTGTTTATTTTGTAATATTGTTTCTCTTGCTGTTCGGTAAGCCTCATATCGATGAATATGTCTACAAGTTTGTTTGTTTTGTTGGGTTAGGCCCTTTCGGTCTGACAAGACCATTGCAGAGCCGGAAGGATGATAGGAATAAGGGGGAGACATTGGTCTGGGCAGACACCCTAGAGAGTCGCCGGGGCTGAGCCCGTCCGAATGGACAGGCCGACCAGCCCCCCAAGCACTCTCTGCACCCGGCTACGGGGTGCGCTCCCTCGGGAGCAGCGGTGCCGCTCCAAGGGAGCAGCCCGCATGAGATAAAGGTGCCTGTCCAGCCCGGGGTGGGGTTGCGGCGTGGAGGAGAAGGATTTCTGTATCCTGAGGATAGAAGCATGGAAAGGTGAGGTGTCTACAAGTAAACCGACTGATTTTCACGCGCTCTCCCTTAGATGTTTTCACGAAATTAAACAGGGTCACGCGTAGCGCTGACGTAATTTTCGACCTAACTTATCACGGATATTTACGCAAATAATGTTCACATTGTAGTCCCGAGTCACTCATTGCTTACCAGGTAATACAAAGAGACATGCAGAAGTAAATACGTCCAGATGTGCCTGCGTGCACCGACTGGACGATTGCTTTGAGCTTGTAGCCCAGGCTCAATGCTGGCCGACTTTCAGCATGCCTGTAAGTCCCCGACTCCGATGGGCTGCTAGATTTTGTCAGAAGTACAGCCTACTTTCCCGGTGCTTTATCGGCACTCAATGATGATTGTTAGGACTTCATATCCCTCACATTTACCACGAAAAGGTGACACGTTTATTTTGGCACGGACGCGACAGCTATATTTTTCTTTAAAAAAAAAATCTTATTCTATATTTTTCTAAATCTTCATCGTCACATGATTTCCTGGCAATGTGTGTCATCTGACAGTGTGTCATCGGTCCGCTGACACGTGTCATCGGCCCGCTGACGGTGCGTCATCGGCCCGCTGACGGTGCGTCATCGGCCCGCTGACGGTGCGTCACTGCCGTTCCGCGCTGGCGTCGGAGCCGGCGGCGGCTGGCGGAGACCCCCGCTCCAATGCTGCCTTTGTAGTCGGTCCAAAATGCATGTGTTCAGGGTGGGCTGCAGCGCACAGCGGCTTTAATCTCGAGCGGGGCGCGTGTTGTGGGGGTGGGTGAGGAGCTGGGCTGACCCCGCCACCCGTACGGCCGTCAGTCAGCCGTCACTAACCGACCCCGGGCCGTCACTGGGGGAGCGACTGGTGAGCCACGGCGGCAGCTGGCCCGTAACCGCAGCTCTACCCGGGCGGAAGCCGCAACGTACAGCGATTACGTAGTCAAATTACGTGTGGTCTCTGGGAACGACATGCAAACAAACATACCGCACAAACATACATACAAACACACATTCACAAACACACACACGAAACACGCACCTCCCTCGCCAGACACACACCTGAGAGCTAGTATTTACGCACCCCCAGCGCCCCTAGCGGTGTAACGGTGACGTCTCGACCCATTTATGGGCGCGGCACCCCTGATGGAGAGCACCGCGCCGGGCGCCGGCTAGAGCAGGGGTCGACCGCTCCCACTGATGACTCGATTTAATAGCGGCGCGGTGCTACCTCATATCTGCAGGGCGCTGGCGGCACGCGTACGGCGGCCTGTCGATGATTTATCTTGCGGCCGCTCGCCGCGGCAAGAGGCGGTAATTGCATTAGTGGCGGGAACTGTCACCGGGGGACGGCGCAGCAAATGGCCCTTTATGGTAATGACGCCGCCGCCGTGATCCCCGAGACGGTCCGGGGCGCCACGGTCTGATCCCAGAGATCCCTTCCAGAGCTGCAGGGCCGACCTAAGAGGTTCAAGAGTGAGGAGCTGTTCTAAGAGGCCTCATAGCCAGGGACCGACCTGCAAGGGTCCCTTCTATGTAGGAGTCCATCTAAGAGCTCCTTGGGCCAGGGGCCGATCCCAAACGTCTGGGAGCTAGGAACGTGTGACAGAGATCCCGGATTCAAAACTTGGTCTCAGATTTTTTTTAGAGCCAGTAACGATTAAAAAGACGGCTCGAAGAGATCCCACATATCCCTTTTAAATGTCACGAACCGATTTCAGGGGTTTCTTTCAGAGACGTGGACCGACCCTATAGCGATCTCATTGCCAGGGACCGATTCAGAGAACTGCCGGGTCCGTGACCAGCGTGTGTGCCTGGCGTGCGTGCTGTGTCATTTGTGGTTACCTCGAGCGCCCGGTTCGTGCCACTGCGCGGTGGCACGTGCTGAGGCCGTGGGCGAGCAGTGTCCTGTTTGCTGTCATGCAGTATTCCGCGCTGACCTGTGATGCTCTGTGTGCCCTTGTAGGCCATGCTGTTCTACATACCGCGGTGGCTGTGGAAGCACTGGGAGGGCGGCAAGATCCACGCCCTTCTCATGGACATGGACATCGGCCTAGTGGCTGACGTCGAGAAGAAGCAGAAGAAGAAGATGCTGCTCGACTACCTGCAGGTCAACCTGCGGCACCATAACTACTGGTTCTACAAGTACTTTTTCTGCGAGCTGCTCGCACTGGCAAATACAGTTGGTAAGTTCTTGCCTCGGTAAAACTTTCAAAAGTGGTAGAGCATGGCTGTCACGGCTGAACTACACCAAATAGATGGACTGTCATGCCCTTCGAGACAGTTCTAAATACGCCTCATTTTAACACCCTTCCGATCCCATCCTGCACTGTTAATACTTAAATGCACGGAACAGTCATACTAGCAATATAAGCATTATGACATGAGCTAGCCCGTGTGTTATTGTTTTTTGTTTGGACAGCTGCATGCTGATATCTCAACATTGGCCATTGATTGGTGTAAGGGAGCCATAAAATCCGTTAAACTTTTCATCAGTATGGTAGTTAGGTAAACAGGAAGCCAGGTCAGTAATATAAACCAGAATCGTGGCTACCACAGCAAAAGAAAATTATTCCCCCTCCATCGAATTTCGAGATGACAGTGCTATCGAAACTTTGTCCTTTTCGTTTTTATTTCTTATGCCAAAAGAAAACAAATTTTTCATGTTTTTGATCATTTTCACATTAGTTCTGACTCTGATGTCTACAAGCATGCCAACCATTCAAACTTCTATGAACCTTCTACGGAATATGTTGATCTTTATTGCAAAGCTCTCTTCTACTATTAGAAGGGAAATAGCACATTTCACCCCATGTGTGTTCAACTGTTCAAGGATGGTGAAATGTTAACCCTAGAACGCCTAGGGGGGGGGTTGTATCAACCCCCCCCCCCCTGAGGTTTTTTCGAAGTGCACGCTAAACGGCTTGTCGTAGCGGGCTGAAATTTTCAATACCCTCTGGGGCAACCTTTGCGCATCTTTTGCCGAAAAAAATTGATCGGGTCATGTCAGGTCACGGAGTTATGACGTCATAAGAGGTACAGCCTCCGGCCGGATTTTCACAAACTGAGTGCCAACGCCCGAGGTTTCCTGCCGGTGGTACGGACATCGGTTGATGGATCGTGATGAAAATTCCCATGCATGTTGGGGCAAGTATTGGCTATCATATGGTATAAGAAATTTGACCGGGTCAGGTCAGGTCACGGAGCTATGACGTCACAAGAGGAACAGCGTCCGGTACTATTTTTGAAAAGCGCCCGAACCACTATTTTGCTAATTCTTGTCACCTCAATGGGAATATGCAGCAATATTAGCTTCTATAGAGAGCAAATGGACCTCCCAAATCCAAAAATACAATCAGATTTCAAAAATTTAAATTTTGATTTTTCGAATTTCTGCCGCCGACTGTGACCTTGCCGACTTCCGGCGCTCCCAACGCGCAATTTTTAGAGCTAGGGAAACGAAATACATACCAAACGATAGAGAATTGATCAAGGAACACGATAGTGAAGGTTTCAAGTCGATATCTCCCACCGTTTTGCCGCAATCGCCGCCGAAAGTTGAAAAAAGTCTATTTTTCCGAAAATTTGACCTTTGACCGGTCAAAAGTAGGTCAAATGTTGACCTAGGACCCAAAAATATACCACCAATCGCGAGATCTCGTTGAGAGCAATCCGTTGGTTTTTTCCGCTAAGCTCTACGACCTTCCGTTTCGAAACGCCAGGGGGGGTCGTAACAACCCCCCCCCCCCCTGGTCGTTCGTGTTATGAGAAATGGCCTGGTCGTGCGAGGGTTAAGAAATATGATATCTTATCATTTGAAATGATGTTTCCTTTTTCATCTAAAAAAAAAAAAAACAGTGAGCCGCTAATTGACGTTGTTCACATACTTAGGCTTGGAGGAAATCAATTCTTTACTCTGAGCATTCGGTCAGTGACTCATCGGAGAGGTTTACAGCCCAGTCGGGGTCGGAGGGGAGAATTTCATTACTGGCGACGCAGATAGAAAGGTGGTATCAGACTAAGTCAACAAAGTGTTTAGTGCTAACGACTCCCCAAGACGCTGCATAGATGCGGCACGTAGAATGAATAGGATGCGTGTGGTCTGATCCAACGAACAGCGGACTTTGCCGACATAGTGTCAAAGACAAGAGTCACACCGTTCCCGTCAACCAGCCGCCGTCTACAGCCTCTGGCCCCGCCAGTCAAAGCCGGCGCGGGGACGCGAGCCGGTGCGCGGCGTGGCATGCGGCACAGCATCACTCCAGGCGTATGACGCTAGAGCCATCTAGCGACAGGATAGAAAACTAAGCGGAGGCGATGAAAGTGATCGTGTTTCCTTTGAATGTGCGACTTGCGATACCAATGATACAAAATGAATGAGCAACGAATTAGGTAGACACATCTCTCGACATTCTCTTGTCTCCTTTTTAGTAGTGAAAATGTAACGTTGAGCCATCGATATTTGCGATTGGTGCACCGTAAACGTAACTAACACCCTGGAATAACAAAAGCCGTTTTCGAAGCAGAGTATCCAAATGTTGTGGAACACTTAAAGCTGTCAGTCTTTCCCGTTAGGCAAACGAGAAGCATTTTGGTGCGATAATGTTTGATCATTAATCATTGAACCAATAAAGCCGTCCTATTTACATAATATGAATGCCAGTCCAACTTAACACGCGCAGTGGAAGGGGGGGGGCGGATTTCGCCCACCCCTCCTGTTTTTCGCCAATAACTCGCGCCGCAAACATAATATTAATGTGAAATTTCGGCTACCTGTCCAGAATTGAATTGCGGATCTTCTCGTGCAAGAAATAAGAAAATCGGTTCACAACTTTTCTAGTAATAGCGGTGTAAAGTCAAACATCCTGCCGCCGCGGCGGCGCGGCGGCGCGGCGGCCGGCGCTAGCCGTTACGCGCCGCCTGAATTGTAGACTGTGCCGGGGCGGAACGGCTCCGTCTTTACATCGCGCTCCTTACCGCTGATTATATTAGATTCGCGTCAAATTCGGTGAGAAGACTGAGAAATGTACAGGCAATCATATGGTCAAAGAATTTTGAAAATCGGCCGGTAACAATTTGAGTTATGAGTGTGTAAACACAAAATTGTGATTGCCGCGTTTCCCGCGTCGGCCGATCCCGCTTCAGCCGGCGACATCTTACCCTTAGCAGGCTTCTAACTGCCATATTTATTGTTGGATTATCTAGCAATTCACCATACATACTCACAAATGTTTGTTCTTTCGTATAGTGAAAGAAAAAAGAAAATCGGCCGGTAACTTTTTGAGTTATCGGCGTGTAAACGCAAAAAAGTCGCTAATATGGCAGATTTGACCACATTTGACCTCATTTGACCTTGAAGATATTGACCTAGGGTCATGAAATTCACACACAACAGAGTTCCCCATGGCCCCCACCTACCCTCCAAATTTCGTCTTTCTAGCTCCAGTGGGAGCTGAGATCTTAGGGGGGGGCGACATCCGCCCCCCCCCCTTCCACTGGGCGTAGTACTCGCAACCCTTCCACTGCGCGTGTTAAGAAACTAGCGATCCCTTCGCATATTAAAAAGTCATTGAGCGAGAACAATTGGCTAAAGCGTTACAAGAAAGCTTCAAATGCTTATAACGCCGCCAGTAATAGACCGATAAGCCTTTCGCCGATCCAGACAGAGTGCTGATGGCGGCGGTTAGCAATGTAAATTGGCCTGACATCTGGCCAATCTGGGTGGATAAGCGGCGTGCTGACCACCTCTGGCACGGGATCAGACACGACACGAGTGGTGTCAGATCGCCGCCCGTTTATAGGACGATCCCCCTAAAAATAGCCGCCGCGACAGGGGTGCGAGGGTGACCTGCCCGTCACCGCACCGGCCGGCCGGCCGGCCAGATCAGATGGCCCATCCGTTAGAACGGTGGGGGCATATCAGAGCGGATGTCGGCTGGACCTGAGCTCAGCCAGGCTTGACGGGAGCTTCAGAGGAGTTGGAGCGGCGCTCAGCTGGGCTCGTCGCCGAGCTCAGGGCGAGTTGGCCGCTGGCAGACGCTCGGTCTCGTGATTCAACGGTCAGCTCGTGCCAAGCGTCGGCGGCCGGCCGGCGCGCGCAGGGAGCTGCCAGGAGCTGCCGTCCACCGACAGGACAGTAGGCGACCACCGGCCGCTCACCGGTCGGACGGGTACATAGTTCCCACTGACACTCCTTCATCTACACTGTATTACTGCGGACACTCCTCCATCCATACCGTCCTACCGTGGATACTCCACCAGGCCAGACCATTGACACTCAGTCCTGCACAGTGCACGGTGCGCAGTGAAAGAAAATCGACATAACACTGTTACACATCTCCTGAAACTCTTTTGCATACAGTTCCAGACCCCCAAAACTCTGCCCCCCCCCCCCCGACCCACACACAAACACTCACTCCCTCCCATACCACAGCCTGTCTTCACCCCCACACACTGCCCTCACCCAGATGTCTGGTGCGATCCTGGACCACCCTGCACACCGCACTCTCGGCCACCTTCGACGGACCAATCTGCTGAAAGGTTGGCAGTGCTCGGCGACTCCTGGCTCCCTGTCTCTGCCATCGCTCAGCAGCTCGGAGGGCTCACACTGTTTGATATAAGCCGCTGCGCCCTCAGCCGGGGAAGGCACGCGCCCTCGCCTCCTCCGCCGCCCGCCGCCCTCCGCGTCACCTAATTGATCAGTCCATTACGGGGGCGGCCGCGGCACTGGTCAGAGGAGCCGGAGCAGAGACCGGCCCGCTGACCCCTGCACTCGGCCGGCCAGCGCCGCTCCCGGTTTAAGGGCTGTTTACACGCGGCCGTTCGCTGTCGGCGGACGGCTGCCGGCGCCGGCCGACAAAGGTGGCACGTGTAAACCGGCCGCTGGGTCCCCGGCGCCGGCGATTTATTGAACACTGCCCGACTATCATAACATCCTGTCAGCTGCGCTGGCCGCCGGCGCCGGCCCGAGTCTCCATAGATGATCACCTCAGGGTCACCCAGAGGGGTGACATTGCGATCGGACGAGCTCTGCACTGCAGTGGCCAATGCATATGCATGCAGTTACATATTGCAAATGGGTGTATGCATGAATTGATATTTATGAGCAAGGCAACACAGGTGGTTAGTGGTGTAGCAGTATTTATGTTGATCATATTGATGTCAAGGTGAAATGGAGTGTGGTGCCATACCGAAAAAGCATGCATAAAATTTGATTTTTATTTGTCACCATTTATCGTCAAACAAGCTTCGACCCTTTCGTGGCACTCCCGCTCGCTAAGTTTCGAAAGATGTTGCACTAATCACGACAGCACTAAAGTCCCTTTCCACCCACCCGTAACTCCCAGTTTCTCTCTCTGTCTCTGTCTGTCTGTCTGTCTGTCTGTCTGTCTGTCTGTCTGTCTGTCTGTCTGTCTGTCTGTCTGTCTCTCTCTCTCTCTCTCTCTCTCTCTCTCTCTCCTCTCTCCGTCTTTCTCTCCCTCCTTCTCGCGACCGTCTCGTCCTTGCCTGGCTTGGCGCGCTGCCCGACAGAGAGTAAAGCGGAACATTTGATTCATTTTTCTTCCCCCCCCCCCCTCATGTAGAAACCTGATGTCGCTCACTTAGCCAGGGTAATGAGAAATGTGTATCGTGGCCGCCGATCACGGCGGCTCGTCTCTAATCCGCCGGGGTGTCCGGACGGAGCCATTTCTCACAGGCACCCACGCCAATCTAAAATCTGTCGCTTTTTCCGCAGAATGGTCGCAACTCATTACGATTATGGCTGTCTCTCCGCTATTCATCTGTGGCAGCTGTCTGTACGATCCGCTCGGCCCGGGGACGACGTTTTAGGATTAGGGGATTCGTTGTCGAGCTTTGGGAAGCCTAGAACTACTTGGATATTTTCACTTTTTGTCAAATATTTTTGGGAAATATTTGAAAACCTGATGAAATATTCAAGGAAAAGAAGTTTTTTGAACCATCATACAGAACACATGAAAGCTAAACAAGAAATTACTTCACACGTTCCCAGACCCACTACCCATGAACAAGAATTAGCCAAATAGCTTCGATAGGTAGAATGCCATTTAAATATTAAAGCATATTGCTGATTGCTATTAGCGTTGAACAACGCCGCCAGTTAAATAGCATAACTATTATGTAAAATAACGAATTGTTGCATCTTTCCTCTACAGTTGTGTGGTCCCAGTTCAAGCTCCGACTAGTAACACCCCTCTGTCTCTCTTTCAGGCCAGATATTCTTGATGAATCGGTTCTTCGATGGCGCCTTCATGACGCTGGGTCTGGACGTGATCGCTTACTCAGATAAGGACCCGGACGAGCGCATAGACCCTCTCATCTGGGTCTTCCCGCGCATGACCAAGTGCACGTTCCGCAAGTACGGTCCGTCGAGTAGCATTGACGTGATGGACGTGCTCTGCATCCTGCCGCTCAACATCGTCAATGAGAAGGTGTACGTGTTCCTCTGGTTCTGGTTCCTGGGACTGGCCGGACTGACGCTCATCAACAACGTGTTCCGCGTGCTGCTGATGCTCAGTCCGCGGATGCGCGCCTACTTTCTGCACGTGCGGCTGCGGTTCGTCAGCCGCGACGCCATCAACGTCATCATCCGGCAGTCGCGGATTGGAGACTGGTTCCTGCTCTATATGATCGGTCAGAACATGGACGCCAGCATCTTCAGCGAGGTGATGAGCGACCTGGCCCGCCGGCTCGGTCACAAGGGCAAGGACTACTCGGAGGCGTGAGGCTGGACGTGCCGCCCGGCTCGATTCGAATGAACAGGTAAGTGGCAGGCGCCGGATCGCTGCTCAGTGCTGGGGCAGTGCTTGCACACGCAGACTTGGAAACGCTACTGAAAAATATATGTATGACATTTTTGGAGGCTAAAAATATGCAGCAATAACCTTCGTTCAAGGTTCATAGTAAAACCGTTTGTAGTGAAACTAACTTATTCATCAAAACACATGAACTACTTTTGTGTTGAAACTTGTAACAATTTAACGTTTTCACCATTAACTATTTAACTATATTAGCCGTTTTCACGACGGTCTATCTGGCGAATGCACCTAATTTGACCAAATCTGTACCAAAAAGGTATGTTTTACAGCAAAAATATCTTCAAAGTATGAATTCATTTCAGTTTTTATCAATGATAATGTCTGATACAATGACAAAGAAGGCATATAAGCAATCAGTGCAACCATAGCTGATAGCTACGAAGAAACACACTGAACCTAAGTTGACTAAATCTGCACCAAATGCGACTAAATGTGCACCAGATGGCCGTCGTGAAAACGGCTATTAACAACTTCAACGATTACCGATTGGGCGAAGGTCATTGCTGCGCTTCCAAAATACAAACCTATGCCTAACTGTTGCTCTTTTACGCTCGACCCACCCGTCCTACCACCATGCTTCAAATTAACTACTTTGCTTACCTTCTTATATCACATCATTGCCTATATCATAATGTTTACATTACATCATGTCATCACCTTGCATATTTATTGGTATAAATTAAATGGATCTAATTAATTTTCAATTTCGTGACGTAAATAATGGACAGTTGACACTAGCGAGGCGGATGTTCCTCACCATTGCAATGGTAATACAGCTGGCAATGGAATGCTAGCGAATGCTCCGGGCGCCCAGATGATACAATCCAACCAATGCATTGGTTGGATTGTATCATCTCAGATCTCTGTATGTACCTACTCCCCAACAACCACCTGGTCGCCGACAATCGCCCCGCTCACCTTTGATCGTCTTCGATCACCTTGCTCACCTTTGATCGACTCCGATCACCCACCCGTCTGCGATGACACCTTGTCAGTGCAACCGGCGACCATCACGCGGTGGGCGTGTGTTGGCCGGATTTCCTGTAACAAACCGGCACTTTTATCTCAAGTCCGGACCGCCGCGCCGGGCGCTCGTCGAACAATGGGCCATCAGTGTCAAAGCCATCCGGGTGGCTCGTCTGTCAGCCGCTCTCGACTGGAGTGGGGCTATCGGGGCCGATGGCTGCCCCCCTGTCCACCCCCCCCCCCCGCGGTGGGGACTGGGAGAGGATCGGGGGGAGCTGACTGTCCTCTGCCCTATCCGTGCCACGAGACGGAGTCTCTCTAATCCAGCCGCCGACTGGATCGGGTCTGATTGATGGCGTCGTCGGCTCTAATATCCCGCGGCGTGTTGACGTCGAGCTTGCCACGGAGTCGGATCGGCGGTGGCCGTACTGTCATGGTGATCTTTTGAACAGTTAACTTTTCCACGAGGCTCCGTCATCGTTCTATAGCAGCCTATATTCAATGCAGCATGTTTAGAAGGTATAGAATCCACGGACCAAAATGACTTCCGATTGAAAGATTTGCGCTTTCTCTCCGCACTCTAACAATGTGAAGAACATTTTTTTTTATAAATAGAACGTAGGTACATACCCTTACAGTTCACAGCTTCATTCCCTCCACTAACACAAACTCAGTATGACCCGCCAGGCGGAGAAGAAATCCTAATTTTATTTTAGTTTTTCCAAATTTATTCGATTACACTGTGACACAAAGCTCCATAACATTACCGAAAACGCACGCTTCCAAGCATGCCGAATGATCCACGGACATAGCCTCCTTCGCTTGTGAGATATCGCATAGCCATCGGGATTAAATTGAAGACCTGACAGTGACACCATCGCATTAAGTTTCATTTATCACCGGACGCCTGTCTCAACTTTCAAAGCGAACGCGAGTAAGCAGATTGTACCCATTCTCATTTTTATTTCCCACACAGCCGTCCTCAATTGTCAATTCCCACGCAGCCGCATGCAGCTGCCGCCGCGGATGTATCGATGTCGGCTCGACCCGAACCGCGAATATATCCAAAGCTGAATGGCTCAGAAGCTAACTTTTTTAGAAACAAGCACTTGACGTTTATTACGGTTTTGGTGATGGACAATGCAAGGCGGACTGGTTAGGGTGCCTATGTAAAAGAGTAGTTGAATTGTGGAGTCGCGATATAGGTATTGGTAAAGGAGGCAACAGGAGTCAAGAAACGTATAGCTCGTGGAAGGTGACAGGAAAAGTGAATGTTGGAGAGGGTGGGAAAGCTATCTTTAGGAGAGCCTGAAAGTTGGTTGTAGGGTTGGTCAAGAGGGCCGGGAGGAGAGGGAGCCGGGGCAGCTGACCGGCCGACCACTGCGCGTTGTTACCGCCCCATATGCCGGGGGATGTCGTTACTACGTGAGGTGTCGCGCTGACACCGGCGTGGTCGATGTCTCTCGTCCATTGTCCGTGGCGGTCCCTTTGTCGCCACACCGGTGGTGATTGTCCAGCGCCGCCACGACGGCAGAGCTGTTTGGGCCAGCGAGGTGCCTTACTCAGTGCAGTGCGCCTAATCAGAGGTGCCAATTTGATGCACAAGGATGATCCACGTTTCTCAATGTTTCCCAATGCGGATGCGCACGGCGTTTAATGAATCGGAGAACTCTTACCAATGCCCTTCCTAGCCATTCGCCCTGGAAATGCACAATAATAAAGGAGCGTACAATTAATAAATGCGGTCTTCATATAGCCAGTTACGCTTCATCAGATCCAGATGGCTGACTGTGGCCAATCGTAAAAGAAACATTGGGCATTTGTCTTTCACTCACTGACATCCGATCGAGCAATTATCTCTTAATTATAGGCGATCGAAAAAATCGCCCTGTGGCATCGGAGAACCACCCCCGACCTCTCTCATCTGAGATGTGTACGATACGACAACGTATGTCACTGTCTCGTACCCCTGTTGGTTCGACTGGGCGCCTCCGCCCCGGCTCGCCCGCGGCGCTCTGGCTGATCAGATCAGCCACCGATCGTCAGGACTCATCGGCCTCCTCCTGTCGCCGGCCGAACAGGCTTCAAACATCATCCCGTGACACATGTCCACAAGTGGAGAGTGTCCACGGCGCGTAATGGTCAAGCGCGGGTCCAATTCCCCGGGAGAGTCCCCTTTGTGTGGCCGTATTAGATGGGGTGAGGGGATAATCGCAGGGGACCAGAAACCAATAACAGGCTATATATTTAAAGATAACCGCATTAGGCCGTGCCTATCACTGACAGCTAAATGAAGTTTGGTGAGCAGACGCGGTCAGGGGTCTCTGGACGGGTTTGTCCAGCTGAAGGGAGCAGTTTGGTCAGCAGAAGAGTGTCGGGAAGCTTTGGGCAGCACCAACTGAACGAGGAGGTGGCTTGCAAGCAGCAGCGGCCACCGGATCAGGAGTTCCTGGACTGCTCCAGCGGAGGGGGTCGTTTGATGGATGATGAGCGGTCGCAGGATTATTCAGCTGAGGGGCGGGAGCCGGGGTCCATGATCGGCTTCAGCTGCGGATGTGGACTTGTTCTGAAGGATAGGCATGTCCCATCGCACAAATGTAGTGAGTATTTAGGCATTCACACTAGAGACGAACAGGCACCAATCTGTGGACAGACATTACCTTACTATAATTATTTTTTCTTTCGGTCGCATTGTTCCTGTCTTCCCTTTTAGATATGTGTTTTTATTCAGCGTTGAAATATGCCGATTAATTGCTATCATTTTTAGCGATATTTTGGAGCGTAACGCTTAAAACATTCTGATAAATCGACAGGAAATTATCATGAATCTGTTACTGCTCACATAGTTATAGGTATAGACTGAGTTGGAAGAGTACACGACTCTATGAGATAGCAATAACTAGTCATCTCCTAACATGCACAATCATATTTTGGGATGAATTTGAAAAACTCGTTAGTGAAGCCCCCCGACTATGCAGGGTATCCCGGCTGCGTGAGCGGTCCGGACAGGGCGACGACCGGTGCCTTTGGCCCGCGGCATCAGCCCGCGCCTGTATATTTGTGTCGGTTCTCCTAGACAGTGGGACTCATCACAGTCAAAGCCAACGCGTAAACACACACCGTTTTCACCCAAATAAACGGACCCCGGTCTTCTGCGCCCCGAACCCTCGCACCTGAGGCGCGTGGACCCAGGAGTTTTGGTCATGTGATATGATAGAAAAAAGCAGAAGAGCTGGACTAAATCATTGATTGGCCACCCGGCATGTGTTTGTGTCAGGAGGAAATACCAGAAACTTTCCCGAATGTTAGCGATTCGCCTAGCAGAACGTTAAATAAACCACCCAATGCAAATACGAAGGCCGGTCGGAAGTTTTCGACTAAGTAGTGACTGGTCAAAAGAATTCCCTGTATGTGCTAGAACTGTGAGTGAGTCAGTTGTGTTATGCAGAGTGATCCTAACCAGAATCCAAATGTAATATTGAAATAACTATTTCGTTGTCATGCCTGTTTGTTGTTCGTCTGAGAGGCCCGTGCCGTCGCCGCTGTCAAGGTCATGAACCAGGTTGTGTACCCAATTTTGATTATCTTTCCCTCTCCTCTCTCTCCTCTCTCTCTCTCTCTCTCTCTCTCTCTCTCTCTCTCTCTCTCTCTCTCTCTCTCTCTCTCTCTCTCTCTCTCTCTCTCTCTCTCTCTCGGTGTCATGGCTGTCTGTTTGAATGATTATCATGTTTGTGTTGGCTTTTATGCCATATAGTTTCGGGCAGAGCCCAAGGTCAGGCCAGGTCAGGTCATGCTCCTTTAGCGGGCATGTCCATAAGCCCCAACATCGGCCCCGCGCCACGCTCGCACCCTCTCTCGAGGGCCGATCGCGGCGGAAGCCGGCCGGTCGTCGTCAGCGACGGCGCGTCCGAACCACCGCGCGGGCTCGGCTCGAGTTCGGCCGCTGGCGGGCGGCCAGCGCGGCCTTGCGGCAACTGACCCACTATGTCGGCCGGGCCCGGCGGGCGGGGCCACCGGCTGTATATACATTGGCATCGCGGCCCAACACGCCCGCGCCGGCCGCAGCTCTCTCCGGCACGGCCGGCTCACCTCTCCCACCTGGAAAACTCATCAATCGACCAGAGCGGGACTCGAAATGTTCAGTGGTTTCGGATTCTTGGAACACGTTGGCCAACGTTTGTCGGCAATGGTAGATACTTATATCCGTACTACATATCGGCATTGATAACTTCACAGCGTTGGAAGTTGTAGTCTCAAAAAGTGCCAAAGGTGTTCGTAAAATGCGGCCTTTTAAAACTTATTTACAGTCTTACGTCGAAGTACTTTCATTAGGTTAAATATCGCCCAAGAGAAAGAACAAATTTCGCGCGTCGAACCTTTCAACTGTAGTCGTTTGACTTTTTCCAGCGACGTTCCAAAACGTCGATTTTTCGAAGGTGTCTGCGACTTATGTTGAGTTGAAGTTGGAAGGAGATCAAAATATTTTCGAATAAATTATGACATACTGTCAAACGCACCGATCCTCACTGCACCATCGAGTGGCCAGTTTGGACGAGGTCGTTCAACCCGTTTCCCGTTCCCATGAAGGCAAACTCATCATGAGGGGATTGAGTTTGGTGACATAATTCTGAAAAAAAATCGAAGCATGGCATTGAAGAGCACATGTTGAAACTAGTCGGGCATCGCTGTCTCTTTCGGCGGTCGTCCATACCAAAGTAAGTCCGTGGCCGTTGAAAGGGTTCATCGGACGCCCTCTAGCAGCGGCAGGCACGATCCGCCGACGGCCCGGCCGCCCGCAGCTTGGCTGGCACGCTGAGCTCCTCTCGACGCACCGTCGTTCTTCAGCCGGCGGCGCTATCGGCACCGGTGATAGCCGACGAGCGGCACCGTCACCGAAATGAGGGCGCCCGCACCGCCGGCCGTCATCAGAGCTGGCTCCAACCGAACCGCGGTCACTGCTGACGCAGACGTCATTTGTGCGTGCTGATATGTCGATCACGTGAAACATTCGTAGTCGCCAGATAACACCGACTATGGATAGACTGTAATATTGTTCGAAATTTAAGTTTGCGCTTTTCTAAGTTAGTTGTACCTATGATGCACCTTAACATTAGATTTGAGTTGAGATAGGCAAAATGGGGTCCCTGGCTCACAATTACCGGTTTCGGCACTCACAACATCGAGAAATGCCTTAAATCCGAAATATTGAATTTCAAAATTGCAGCATTTTGATTCAGAGGGGCTAATGTTAGGAATACCCCTCTGAATGTGTGACGTCAGCGCAAATATCTAACGATTTTTAAATGTTTGACTAAAACGTTTTGTAGCACGCGGTGGTATATGCTATTTGCGCGCAACAACTGCCGCAAACGCCGCACTTCTAAAATAAAGTCGCTAGAAACAGCGGAGATCCCAAAAAAGTAAACAAAAGTAAAAGTCTAATATCTTGAAAACCGGTGAATATTTTTCGGTGAAATTTGGTAGATATTCGTTTTCGCTCTTTCTGAACCGAGCGACATCACTTTCATGCCAATTCATAAACTTTTTCGAAGGTGGGAGGGTCCCTTTAAGACGTTAAAGTGTGCGTTATAGGATTTCGCCAATAGGTAAGTGTTGCGGCAAATATAAATCAAGTAGTTCTCCGCTACAGGAAAAGGCTCCTGCACGTCTGGGTCATTTGACGTCTGGGTTAGAACCAGCTCAGTAAAGCCTCCCTCAGATAAAAAAAAGTCAAAATTCCGTAATCAGCAAGCGCAATTTAAGTTTAAGATGTGTACTGCACAGAGCGCACCACTTTAGTGAATCCGAGCAGTCGACAGAAGAGCATTCCGGTGCGGCAGGTTTCCGTGACCCGCGGACGTGTTCCGAGGAAGGATGACCTGCTGTCAGTCCCACTGGTCTTGAACGGAGATCGAACGCCGCCGTTTTACCTGTCGTCGGCCAGCGTTTTATAAATATCTGCCTCGGGACCTACCCGAGTTGCCGTTTTTCCGCCTCCTGAGCCCCGGGAGGTAAATTTCCGACTGAGGTGTCTAGAATTCCCGCTTTGAGATACAGTGATTGAAAGTAGAGACAGTGCTTGTCCCATTGCGTCTAAAAGTAGAGATAATGCTTGTCCCATAGCGTCACTGTAAAGGCTGAACCCCTGTTTGGTAAGCTACAGCATTCGAGTACCCATTGCAAAGGTCTGACGGTAGGTATGTTTGTTGGTTTGAAAAGGCTGGGAGAACCGGAGAGTGCATTTAGCTGGCAGCTGCCTGTGGGAAAGCAAACAATTAAGTGATGGATGCCTGTCCGTTTTAAAGTGTTAGGCGCTATTTCCGGAACAAATGTGTGTTGCACGTATGCCGTGATTTGTAAGTACCAGTTTCAAACGGAATAGGAAAAAACGTAAAAGAGAGAAAGAACCTACTCGTAAGCTAAATGAGAACGATTCTAACCACTCGCATGGTCAGAGCTATATGTACGTACAGTCTGTCTTAAAAGTACCGCGCAAAGTGACGGTGGATCCATCAAGCCTGACCGAGGAAGGGCCTGCTATAATTTGAAAGTCACCGAACCAATGGAGCTGGGGAATGGACGAGGATGTCCATTGCTTCGGTGACTCAAATTTGGCAGTCCTTCATCGGTCAGGCTTGATGGATCCACCGTCACTTTGCGCGGTACTTTTAAGACAGACTGTACGCTCGCCAGTTCCCCACCATATCGCCAAGAACAATTTCGACGAAAGCGGAATGTTACAGCGTCGCTCATGTTTCCACTGACGAGTTATGTTGCATGTGAGTGACCTCGTTCGAGCCGTGGGCAGTGGGTCGGTGGCTCGCGTGGCGACCTCGGCCGACGGAAGGCGCCGTGCGGCCGGCGGTAACCGGGCGGCAGTGGGCCGTCCGTCGGCAGTGGTGGTCGCCCTGTCGGCGGCCACGGCACTGCTAGGTCGAGCCGGAACGGCGCCCACTCACGCCAGCCGGGCCGACCAAGACCGACACGAGCCGTGTGCTGACACGCCACACTCAGTAGCGCCGCCGTGAAGTGCTGGTGCCGGGAATGAAATGGGCCGACCAGATTTAATCGCCCCTGCAAACCACCGAATTTAATCACAACAACGAAGATATGCATTTGAGCACTACTTTGAACATACGTTTTCCAGCTGCCAACTGCATGATATGCTTTCACATCCATCTACAATAAAATGTATTATTCCCTAGCGCAGTTTTTTTCGTTAATTTGAACAAGATGCTGACCAGGGACCGAGATCGAGGCACATCCAACGTCCGTAATCCGTATATCATCCTCCAAACGAGAGAGGAAAGAACAATAATCGACCGTCTCCTTTTATCGCATTCCTCGGTGTAATACCGTTTTTGTTTCTCCGGCAGATGAGCGAGATGGCGGACAGCGGGGACAAAGACGGCGAGCTGAGGTGATCGGGCCTGCGGTGCCCCACCGACCACAGACCGCGGAGCCCGTGTCAGCCCCGGGGCGCCGTGTCACGTGCCATCTCTCGGTGCGGGAGGGAGCCGACCGCGGCACCTGCACGGCACACACGCGCGGGGAGCCGCCACCGCCGGCAGCTGTGTGCCGACCCCATCCCATTTATATGTGTGCATGGCAGACGCGCGTGACTAAGGGAGAGAGAGGTAGATAGATGGATAGAGGGAGAGAGAGTCGGCCAGGACTCTGGAGGCGGACTCTGTCATGCGAGCTGTGGACTTAGCTGGCTGGGACTCGCTGCAATAGCTGGGACTGTGTGGACTGGGCTGGTGCGGCGCTGACCAGTGCCAGGAGCGGGAGTTTGCGCTGCGTCTCTCATCTGTGTCATTGACAGAGACTGTCTCTAGTGGCTCGCTGGCCATTCTGTGAACAGTGAGTTGTTACGTTCCAGTGTCGGCAGGCGCCCTGCCGGCTCACTGCCGAACTCCGAGCGGGACGGGGCTGGTCGTCCGATATATCAGTACACGTAGCTAGTTTTCCTACCCACGACCGGCCTGCCAACTGGTCCATCTGAGGGGACCAATTGTGTGCCTTCATGGGTGGCGTCGCTAGTACTGGTCTCTGTATAGCGCAGCTGGTTTAAACGGTGCAATGCTGGAAACATGGAAATGGAAATGATAGTCAATCGATTCGCAACTGATAAAAAAGGGAGGAAGTTTTCGTGGTAAAACGCCGTTTATGTCGGTTTGATACGCTGTCAAATCTAATCACTGCTGGTCCTGACTGATATTATGCATACTCTAATCATCGTGCCTCCCGATTACATATCTTGTGTAATCTCGATCACGACTGCTACCGGCGAGGTGTCTGACAGACTGCCATCGTCGATACTGCTTCTTGGATATACTGCGCTACATCACCGACGCTGCCAATTGGATATGATCTGTAGTCTGAGCATCCTCGCTGCCAGCTGGGCGTAATGCTCTTTTTTTTTCTAAGCAACCGTCCAACCCAGCTATATCTTGTCACATAACTCTGACTTTAGGCTTGGGTACTTTGATCATCATATGTGCTGGCTGACGAACTGTCTCGACTTAGATGTCACATTTTTATTATGTCGTCTACTGGTGCCTATCTGTGAAACGAAAGTGGCATGTTTTAGCTGAAAAGAGGCGAAAATGCCAGATTGCTGCGAACGACTCAATTCACTGAGTTACGGATATCATTCGAAAAATTGTTTGCTCCCCAAGCTCATTCGTTTTATTACTTTGCTTATTTCATTCACATTTTATGTTTTGTTTCCCCATCACACTCAGATACGATCCCTTGACTTTTATAACACCACTCCTGAAGTCTCACTGGCACAAAATGTTCGTTCATGAAATAAATAGGCGTTCACAATAAGTGCGCAAAAATGACTAGCCTTACAAAAATATTTTGAACATTCGTCATGTCGCTCAGTAAAAATGATGCTATATTTAAAGTGACTGTCAACCTTATCTAATTTTACCGTTAACCATTAGCTTTTTTCAGATGGTTCAATCATCATGCCTTCGATTATTTTCCCCGCCTCATGAACAGTTACTGTCGAGTCTCACGACCTATAGCTGCTGGACATTTTTTTTTTCTTCTCAGATTTCCTTGTATTTGGCATGTGATTGCGAAAAATGACATTCAGATGAGCAAGCAAGTTCAGTGATCCAGGGCAAACGTTCGCTTATCTATAGTGATCAAGACTGGCTTGAAATTGCTGTCGTATGGTTGGCATGTACTATATTGTAACTATAGATGAGCGCATTTGTACACGTATCTTTCAGTTTTTCATTTTGGAAATCCAGAATAAGAGAACTTTGTCTTGTGCTAGGTATGTATGTGTCTTGTACATTGTAATGCAAGGGTTGTTGTGATATTATCCCGTCGCATGGAATCAAAACTTCGTGATTTTGCACAGATCGTAACACCATAGGGTTATTTTCGCACTATGGAGCAGACTATTGTAGTCGTTTCTTGACTAGGCGCTCATTTCTTACTACAGCTCATGTCTTAAAAAATTATAAGTATCCTTTAAAGAACATCTACCTAACAAATTGATAATTTTCTTGACGTGTTATTTACATGTCTTTTTAATCGGATTTCTGTTATACAAAAGTGGCATATTTTATTCAACTTATCCGCTTGGCGCTTACCTTAGGCATCCCCTACCTGTGCTTCATTGTTTCATCAAGTCCATCATTTATTGGGTTCCTCACTGCCCTTTTTTCCATGCTGAGGAGTAAGGATAAGAGATGGTCATCGAAATTTAGGTTTGGATAAGTCATAAGAGGAATTCGGCACGGTTCGTCTTACCAATATGCCAGTGATGCCGCTTTGATGCCGTGTTTGTAAATAGGGCTGCACGCACAAGCGCGTGAAAGTGTCAGAACTGTCGGGACATATATATATATATATATATATATATATATATATATATATATAAATATAGACGTGACGTGCTGTGCGTTTCTACATTGTGAATTCCTAGATCTTGTAATGCTGATTTCGGTGCATAACTTGGGATCAAATACATTACATTTATCCCCAATTCAATGTTTACGGTCGCTTGAGCTCGGAGTTTGTGATTCGTTATTGAAAGGATTGTCGCATTGGATGTCGTCCACCCGTGCGTAGAGGCTGTTTCTGCCTTTACGGCACGTAGATGTGCTTTCTGTTTAGTTAGACAGCTCACGTGAATCGACTGTTGGCGTTTTCGTCTGGATTATCGGCTCGAAAGCTGCTGCTGAGTTTAGGATGACTGTATTAGACTGAAACGTGAATCTGACTTTCCAAAGTCACCGAGGTCACCTGAGGTCAAGATATTCGAAAAGACTGGTGAAATCGCATGTGACGAATTGATTGGTAGCATTTTTGTCTCTGATCGACACAGTAGTTGCTAAGCTATGGGATGTCTTGGGCTAAATCATCAAGTTGACCTTAGGGTCACCGAGTTCACCTGAAGTCACCATATTCTTTGCATTTTGTGAAGTTGCTACGGCGAATCGAGTGGTGCTACTTTCAAATCGATCGACCTGGTATACGGTAGTTGGTGTGGCTTACTACAATAGGCGAAAAGTTATGTTGACCTGTCAGGTGTCAAGGTCACCGAGGCTATCGTGCCGTTGGAGATTGGTGGTCCTTCGCCGGTTTGCCAATCAGTGAATAAGTTAACTAGAGCCTGGCAGAAAAAATAGCATCTGCGACATAACAAGACGCAGCAGCCAGTACCTACCCGACTTAAATCTCTCCAATTGGTGACCTCTGAGGTGTGCCCTCTGAGGCCAGGTCAAGTGCCAAAAGGGACGGGCTCGGTTTTGGTCAATAACTTCAATAATGGCCGCAGAGCCGCAACTATAACACCGTCGTGTTGTGACGAGGCATCGATGCATTTCTGCTTATCTGCGACCATTTTTGACTGACCTCAGGTAATGTAGGTGCCTGAAACCGAATCTTATTACCTTTGAGCATGACTTTAACCCGACCTTGAACCTAAAAGGACCTAGAAGGAAGCAGTCGCTGTGCATGTAACAGTACGCACGCCGCGAAGTATCCAGCTCAATCAGGGCAAATGGCTGAGATGTCACTGGCGCGAAAGACCCGCGCCCCGTGGAGGGGGTGAAAAGCCCCCCCCCCCCCCCCGTCTTTTTCCGTAGGGAAAAGTGGGTTAACCCTCGCCGGCACAGGGGGGGGGCTGATGCAACCCCCCCCCTAAGGTTTTTCGCGAATAACTCGCGTAAAAAGCGGCCGATCGCGACGAAACTTTCAGTACCCTCGCATTGATCAATTTCACACCTACCCTGAAAATTTCATGACCCTGACCCAAATGACCTTTGACCTGTGACCTCTTTTCCGAGACCATGTTTGGCCAGAATCGCGATTCGGCGTATGTCGGCTCGCATTAGCCGCGCGTTTGCAAGCTTTTCGTGGTTTCAAACGTTCAAACATGTGATTTGATGTTGCTCCCATACATTAGGGTGGGTGTCAAGGTCACCTGAAGGTCAGGTCAGGTCATTGACCTTTGCTGACCTCGGGTGACCTCGGTTCACTTTTTCGAGTTTTACATGTTTCTAGGCTAGTTTTTGGAGCTGAATTCGAATTTAGCAACCATTTGAACATTAACGAAGTAGTTTTGGTGCCTTCGTAACATGTTACGAAGCTGTCAGAGGTGGTTGACACGTATTACGAATACCCGTCACAACCCCTACCGGTTGACCTGACCTGACCTGACCCGACCTGGTCTAAATGCTTAAAGACATCATCTCTGATCAAAACTAACACGATATTCGTGATCAGCACCCCGGAAAACCACATAGCAGCCACACTTTACGACTTTATAAACAGGTCCCGATTTTCCCGGTTTTCGGGTCATTGACCTGACCTGGAAGGTCACCCGATGACCTAGGACCTTAAAATTGGGTATCATCGGCTTCGTCTCGTGACGGGCAACACGCTCGTTTTTTCCGCGAAGCTCTAGCTCGATCAGGGGCCAAACGCGAGGGCGGGGGGTCGTACCAACCCCCCCTTGTGCCGTCGAAGGACGCAAAATGGCCTGTGCCGGCGAGGGTTAAGACGGTCAGGGTAGGTAAGACGGGCACCACCTCTGCAGACCAAACCAATAGCGCTACGAGCGAGAAAAATTTGGACCAGACTTGCCTTTCCCACCACACACCACCGTTGAAGCCTGGTGAATTTGTGTTCAGTCAATTATCTTTTATTTCGATTTCTTAAAAACACTTATTTCATTGAAAACATCCATAGTGCATTGTGCAAACTTTTGTGTGCAGCACAACCAAGTCAAAAACTCGTTATCACTTGTGGTAGCTAGTAGGTACACTCATATGCTATACATTTTCATTTAGCGCGGAATTGCTCCGCTTGCATCAACTTGTCCTGCAGAGACAAATCGTGCTGAACTTCTAACTAACATTGAGTTTGGGGTAAGACGGGCAAGTATGGTTGCAATGGGTCTCTAAATGGTGAAAATATTTATGTTGCTGTAGGAAAAAAGAAGCATTTGTGGTGAAAATATTTTCGATTTCGATACTCACAGACATACCTACCTATAAACAACATTCCTTTGGTACAATTTAGGTATCCTCTAATAATGAAAATGAAAAACAGTATTACAAGGCTTCTGAAACACCTGAACTTCTGTAGGGCCTGTACCTATACAATAAAAGCATACGCGTTCTGCACGAATCTCGTATACTGCCTTTTTCGAAGCACTTGAGACCAACGAGCGACCGTATCAATGCGGCTAATCTCGGGTATTTATTAATAGTTGTGCTGATCGGTTTAAGTAGCTGGCCGTCTTGCCCTACCCATGTGACCGTTTTACCCCATGGTGCGGGGCAAGACGGTTTTTGCAAAGTTTTGCAAAAATAGCTACTTGTACTTGTTGCATCAGCTCTGAGCTTCATCTTCTGGCAAATGGAAGTAAAATGTCTAAAAAAGGTTTTCATTCAGTTTCGCGTCCTTATATTGTTTATAACCGACCAAAAATGGCTCCAAAATTAGGGTGCCCGTCTTACCACGTTCCCCTATATATCTCCTAAATGACCGCAGATATCGTCACCAAGTTTTCCGGACCCCACCGGGCATCAATTTCAAACATTGTGACTAAACATTTTCCAGAGGCTGTGATAGGTTGGCCGCAAATGACGTCAGGATGACGTCATGTTCTACCATTTTCTACCCAGCAAAAGGTTTCGCGGGAGCAGAGCTGTCAGGCCTACAGCTGTAAAGATACAGGAACGTGTTCTTGGCATAAAAGTTATAGGTATAGAAACACCTGGCAGGGCTGTGCAGTGTCTGCTATCTCGGATTTTTAAAGTTTACTGATTTTGACACCCGACAATAAAAAAGCAATTTTTGGCTGTAGGTACCTTACAGCCAAAAGAGACTTTTTTCGAATTTCGAAAAAAAGGAATATCTATTTATCATAGTCCCTACCGTCTTCTATCCACACAGGGGAAGGTGGGCATAGCTCGGACCACTTTCTCTGAACTCTGGAGGCCATTTGCTCAGTAACTTCAGGTTCGG